AGATAAGATGAAAAAAAAAATAAAGGCACCAAGCAAAATCAAGAAACGGAAGGAAAATAAAAAAGAAAGAGAAAAGAAAAGAAGAACCATCATCGTCCTCACTCCTTTTCTATTCCCATATAAACGAGCACCACGGGAACCTTATCCTGAATCTTATTTCAAACCAGTAAGGCCAATGCTACCTATGTCAATGCAGTATGAAGACCGAAAGCCTACCGATCTATGTGTAACAGTAAAGCCAAATTACTATTTCTAATAGTAATAACGGTAAGATTTGATGGCAACAGACACCATGTTTCATCTACAGTAAATTATGTTCACAGTAAAGATTCTTCTATTTTCTATTTTAAGGGGAGCCTCATCCCTTGTGAGGCATTAATGAAAGAGTTCGTTCAGCATCTGAGATAAACCATAGTCCTCTCCCTCTCTTCAAATATCCTTTTCTCTCTCTATCCCCACTTCAGTTGTAAGCGACTTCTGTTGGCAGGCTCTAATTTAAACCTTTGTAATGTTTACTTAAATAATTTCAATAATACTTGTATTTATATTTTGTAACTTAACTTAAAATATGTTTTAAAATTCCTACGATCTTAAAGCCCCGTGGTTCCGGCCACTATTCTCTTCGTCCCTCCTTCGACTCCTGAGCTTTAACTCTTGGCGATCCCAGCGTTAAGATGGCCCGTAGGAATCCTTAAACCATATGTAAAAGATTAAAACTTTGTTTCGTTGTGTGTGTTGTTTATAAGGTATGCTCTTGGATGCCTGAGTCTGATCTTTCCACATCAAATATTGCTTGCTTGTTATAAAAATCTATACTGTATAAATTCATTTCGCATCGTAGCATTACTTCAGAATCAACCATTACTGTTATTAAAAATTAAGACATCAAGATTCAGAATCAACATAAATCTTAATGGAGATATAAAGAAATTCATATATATATTATTATTATATATATATTATAATATATATACTAATATTATATACTATACTTATAGTTATATATTTTCCAATGGCCCCATTGGAAAATACCCACAGTTCTCCAAAACAAAGTAGTATCACGGTACTCGCCACTATTTAGTGCTGCCTGTCCTTCAAAAACTCCTTGCAAGCTTTTTGTGACCTATACGTAACTAAACATCAAAGACCAAGAGTACCAGATACCAGATTGAAACCATGACCAATAATATTTAAAAAATGCATTAAATTATCAGTTTGTTTAAAAATAAACAACACCTATTAATTCTTATAGACAAAGATCAAAATGTTTTTAACACGGGAAGTGATGGGAGAGGGTATAAAGCGGAAACAACCCTCTTCGAAACCATATGAGGCAAACTAAAAACATTATCGAACAAATCACTAAACTGACCTCTTGAAGCGCAAAATCGCTCACCGGTCTTCTTTCCAGAGATCTTGGAGTCACCCACGATCTTCTATAGTAATATCTAATTATCTCTCTTTTGGAACTCTCTGAGTGGCAGAGAATAGAATAACGTGCGTTCCTTTATTCTTAGGGTTTTGCAATTTTATATTAAAAAAAAACTCTCTTCGATAGGAAGATATTTTTTAATATAAAATAAATTTACTTTTTGGATTACTGGGCGTTTCGTGATGAAATCGGGCCCGAGAAGCGCATCGGGCTTGCCTGGCGCACTTTTAGGTGTACTACCACATTTTGCATGCCATCCGGTCTAACTTAGTAAAAATGAGCCCGGCCCTATTGCGGGGATTGCGAGTGGCATTTTGCCACGTTAGCCCTAAATGGGGCCACCCACCCTCATTTGCCTATAAATAGGCATTTGGGGGGTGTGCCTTAAGGTAGGATTTTTTAGACTTATAGGGAAATTCTTGATTCTTGAAAACTCAACCTAGAAATCAAAGGAAACTTGTGTTTCCCTTTATTCAAAGTTGAGATTCATTTTTTTTTTTATCATTAAAACCCTTAAGGATCAGCTAGAAATCCCAAAAAAAAACATATTCACTAATCTTCAATCTCATACTATTGGATCAAGAACCTAGCATTTGGGTCTCTTGATCCATATTTTGCACTAAACTTTGAGGAATTCACCCAAAGGTAATACTTGAGAGCCTCTAACCTATTTCTTCGTCCTTTTCTTTTCATTTTCGGTGGTTTAAGCACCTATTTTGAGTCTGTTGTGAGAGAAACCTAGGAGCAACCACAAGGATGTTTCTATGCCTCTATGGCGGACGAACTAAGCTAGTGGTGCAAGCCACCACGTGTGGCATGCGCCACAAGCGCCATAAGCTTGTGGCTTGCGCCATATCAACCTTAAACCCCTATTTTGACTTTTTTTCTTGTCTGAAGCCTTTCTGATCTGGGAAGAGCCTTGCGCCACTATATGGGGCGCATGCCACTTCTCCCTATGGCGTTAGGCCCTTCATTTTAAAATTTTAGAATGTGAAATAATTAATAAAATGGTCCCATATGGAGATCCAATGGCAAAGCTCCAATCTTAAGTGGTCTGGGTTGTGTTTTTATCCATAAATGGATCAAATAAACAATAACAAACAAGATTGAGAGCAATGATTGGTGCACTTATTAATCATTTATGATGAACATCAAGGCCATGAGCTTAAATCTTGTTGAGAAGGTATATGATTTTTTCGTCTCTCAAACATATTAAAGAGATGAGGATGTCTGTGATCGTCATAGGCACAATCGCCTTTTTAGCTCGGAACATGATGTTCGTTACCCTGCTGAGGTTTAGCTAGCAGGCATTCTAGCACAGTGGTGAACTGCGCATATGCTTGAGTTAGGACGGTCTCTACTTGCGGATTAGTCACTTGAGGAGGCGACATCAATGTTTGATCATTGAGTCTCTCTTGCTCATCTGCAATTTCCTCTAAGCCTGAGTTTCTTAATGAACCGTTAGACATAGTGAACAAGGAAATTTTGTCTTGGGTCTAAAAAATCATGAGTTGTGTTCTACGTCCACTATACCAATTGATAACCAAAAAAAATTCTACTCTTTGATTTGTTTACTAAGAACTTTTTGAGATGAAAGTATGTAAAATTGTTAAGAAAAGTGTCGTCCTTTGCTTTTCGTAGTAATTCTTTATATAGAGGAAGGAGAGGTGGGATAGTGAAGAGAATCTCTCCATTACTAATCCCTAGAATACCTCTCTTTAGCTGAGGATTTTAGAAATAGTGGATAAGCGGTTATAAGATGTGATTTTATAGGATTTTAATTAGATTTATATTTGTACTTGAATATTGAATTATATGTCAGGTTTATTATATTTTATTATCAAAGAGGAAGATCATCAATCCATACCTATTCAATAATAGAAGAGAGAGCATATTTAGCTAACTCATGAGCTAATTTATTACAATTTTTACTAGCAAAAGAGCATTGAAAGAAAGAAAAAAAATATAAAGAAAGAGGGTATCTGCAGAATTTGTGTGCCAAACTCAGTTGATGGAGCTTCCCCACTTCTCACATAGTTTACATGCACTTGGCAATTTGATTCAATTATGATTCGAGAAAAACCAAGATCAACAACTCGGTTAATAGCAAACATAATGATAGATGCTTCAGATTTTTTAGGAGACAATAAAAGGTTGATCTATCAATTATTGCTGCCGTTACTTCCTCTCTATAATTGCGAGTCAAAAGCCATAGCCACAAGCAGCCCTTGTCTGAACGGCTGCATCAGGATTGACTTTAATCAGATCATCACAAGGGGCTTTCCATCAACGCACAACAACATTAAGTTGACATTTTGTTACAGGGCAAAGACGGAGAATTGTTTTCATTTTATTTTTACTTTATTGGAATTCTGAGACCAACAAGACAACAGGGCTAGATACCTGCAAAATTGATATTTTTCGATGCTGAAAAATCATTCAATTCCTTGCTCCCCAAAAAGCTCACATAGCCATAAAGAGAAGAGCCAGTTGCTCATCCACCATATTAAGAGAGTCGTCTTTCAGCCAGCTACTTAAACAAAGAAAAGTTTCATTGAAGGTTAATCGTAACGGACATAATTGCCAAACCAGTTTTGCAAAAGACAATGAAGCAAAACATGAAGGCATTTTCAGGTGCTTCACCACAATTGAAATAGATTGGGTCGACTTCCACTTCTCTTCTCCTAAGATTAAGTTTTGTTAATAGACAATCATAGTGTGCTCAGTTAATAAAATGCTTTGCTTTTGGATAAACCTGATGTTTTTAGACCTTTTTTCAAAAGGGGGTTTCCGTATTTTAAGAGAGACTAACTTCATTAATCTCCATTTTCGAGCTAATAGCTAATAGATAAGTTGTTTTAATCGAAAATAATCCATTCATAATAATTATATAACAGAAATTGAATTGATATTATCAATAAATATTTGACTTCCTACTACCACCACTGCTACTTAATCTCCATTTTCAAACTAAGTGCTAACAGTTAAGCTGTTGTAATAAAAAATAATCCATTTATAATAACTACAAAACAAAAATTGAATTGATATTGGCCATCAATCTTTAACTATTAATATTATTATTATAATAATAATTATTGTTATTATTATTATTATTTTGTCAGAGATATAACAATACAAGATATATTTTATTATTAAACAGATTATGATTATAATTATAATTGTCAATCATATATTATCAAATTGGTTTTGATCAATTTAATAGAGTGAACCTTGTAATAAATAAAAAAATTATAATTACAACCACAATTACGAAAGGGTAGGACATAACGGATATACTATAAAATTAGCGCTTACATCACATCCTATACAGTGTCGGTGTAAGAAGCTTTAAAAAATGGTAAATCTGTAATATACTACAAAATCCATAGGCAGAGTTATAATAAACCTATGATCTTTCCCCCTGAAAAAGATTATACTATTGCAATCTATTATTTTCCCGCGGCTTTGAACGCGGCATTAAATTTGGCTTTTCGCTTTCATTGCCCTCTCTGGCCTTTTTTTTTAGTATAAACAATATTTTTAAAAGAAAAACTATAAAAAGAAAAAAAAAAAAAAAGAAACAGAAACATTTTGTTTGTTTTGCCATATAGCAAACACAGCAGCGTGATCCCATTGAGTCTCTCAAAAGCGCAATTTGTTTTTATTTTTATTTTGTCCCAATTTCTTTCATTCACTCACTCACTAACTCTCCACAGAAATCCAACTCGTGACTTTCAATTTTCAATTCCCCATCTCATAGTCACTCTCATTCTCTCTTCCATTCATTAGCACTCTCTGTTAGATCTCTCTCCATCGACGGAGCACAAGTAGGAATTTGACATGGAATTGAAGAGGAACTGCGAGAAAGGGAAAGGGAAAGGGAAAGGGAGTGTCAGAAAGACATAATGAGGTTTTATATTTCCACGACGGGGATTAAGAAAGTAACTATCTCTAACTCCGGCGGAAGCGGCGGGGGAAAGGGATCAACAGTGGCGGCGAGTCGGAGGTTTTTTAGCCGGACAGTTTTGCCGGTGGTGCTGTTGCTTGGCATTATTTTGCCCTTTCTTTTTGTCAGAATCGCGTTTTTGGTCCTCGAATCTGCGGCTGCTTGCAATTCTTCATTTGGTAAATTTAATTAATTAATTAATTAATTATTTGATTGATTGATTTTTCTTTTAATTTTTGGGAATTAAAAACAGTTTATACTCTTGCTTGGAAGGGTTGAACCTTGTGCTTTGATGGTTGTACATTTGCGTGTCTCGATATTGTGGCTTCTCTTCTCCTTTCCCTATCGAATTCAATTTTCTATTTACTTCATTACTTGGTGTCTGCAGACTGTATGGGATGGAGGTTTTTCGGCGGGAGTGATACATCTCTGGTGAGTACTTTCTTAATGACGACATTACCCTTGCGATTTTCTAATATTTGCGTTTATTTTTGTGCTCCAACAAAGGGTATCGTGTAAAATTTGAAATGCTGCGCCCACGTTCTTTTAACCAGAATGGTAAATTGGTAATAATCGATGGACTGCCACGTCCACATCTCCACCTCCCAGAATGAATTATTTTTCATTAATTTTTGTAATTCTTCTCTTCAAAAAAATTGATCTTTTCTTAGATTATTGTTTTTTTTTTTTTAATTTTTAAATTTTAACGTTACTTGATTTATAGGGCTGGTTTAGTGAACCATCGATTTTGTTTACTGAATCGATAGTTTTCAACTAAACAAGTTTACTGAAATCGGCTTGAGTCTATCTATTTCAGGTCAATTCTGGTTTCAGCGGATTTCGATTCGATTCAAATCTTTTTTTCATTATTATTATTTTTTTATGCATCACAGATTTGTAGGTCAGTGGTGCAAAATACTAAGTCACTTTGGGAAACTTAAAAAAGTACATGATTTTGAAAATCTTATCATGTTGTAATTTAAAAGGAAATTGGGTTTGTTCCCACCTTTTTGCGATTGTTTTCCCTCAAAATTTCCTAGCTTCGGTATAAGGTATGCCAATTAATTAGGTTAACAGTAAATATAGTGTTTGATAAAATTGTTCGATGTTTTAATTTTTTAAGTTATTTAAGAATATTTTAATATATATATTACTCAAACATTCTAATTATATTAAAATAGAATAATAATTAAAAATTTTCACTTTCTTCATAGAAGGTATAATAGGACTGAATTAATATTGTGGGTTAAATAATATGATAATTTTTTATTTTTCTTATTAAATTGATGAAAATTTTTACGATAGGGAAGATTTAAATTTGAAATTTCCTGCTCCTTATATGCTGAAGACCAATTTGATTCTTTTGATTGGCAAAATTGTTTACCTTGTTTTTAGAGATGATATATTTCTCAAATATATATATTTCAGTTTCACCTGAAGTAACAAATGGCATTCCTGTTAAACCTGATACTGTGCGGTGGCATTTTAGTCCTATAACCTTAGAAATTCGAAAGAATGAGAATTGCAGAGGCTACAGTTTATGGATAAACCTCGTTCTGAGGAGTGTCGGTATTTGACGTTGCTTTCTATTCCACGTGGCCAGTTGTCATGCAATGATAATATTCTTCTCCACTTGAACTTTATTAATTCAAAACGCACCATAAGGAAAGAAATTTAATTATTGGTGGGAAATTTCCTATTGTCAATATAACTTTTTCTGCTTCCAAGTTGTTCCTATTGAAAACTCCAAGGGAATTGGCCTGCCCTTCGAGTGGAAGAAGTGAAAAATAAAGTTGTAGTATCCGTTTAATGCAATATGTCAGCCCACGTCAACATTGATTAGCTATATCAACGGCTCCTAAGAGCTGTGATTGATTCTATCAGATTTTTGTTGATGATGTTACTGTGTTGATGCATGTACCAAATTTAAAGAAGATGAAAGAAGAGCTGACAAGAGCTTTGTTGGAGGCAAAAGATGGTGACATTAATGATAATGGAAGAGATGATTCAATTGAATCATTTAATGAGCTTGTGAAAGAAATAACGTCTAAACGGCAAGACATAAAGGCTTTTGCTGTCAGGACCAAGGCCATGGTACGTCTAAACGACTTGTCTGCTTCTTGATCGTATTTCCAATTCTAACGCCTTTTGCCATTACTTGTTACCCACCTACTAAATGGAGAAATTATTAAGTGGATTATGCTTACGCATCAAATTATTTTACTATGTGGACTGCCATATGCTAATCCTTCTAATTTAAATCAATAATTAGGTGACATCTATTCAATACGACAAATTGCTGTTTGCTTAGAATTAAAACAAGCAGAATTATAATAATATTTTATTTTTTGTTAACTGAATTGACATGTTGATTTATTTCTCCGAGGTGAGAGGACAAAATGTGCTATAAGTATATCTCAGCAAATCTCAATTGTTATTAATATGTCATCTCCAAGGATTTCTTTTCTGAGTATTAGAGGAAGATTTTTAGCGATTTGAATTGGATATGTTATTAGTTCGTATATGTACTTGCGTCGCTAAAAGCTTTGGCTAATTATGTTATTAGTAGTCTTTTGCCTGAAAAGCACTTCTGTCTCTAATAAGGTAAAAATTAAGGTCCGTCATTTGATATGACTTGTTACCAACTACATGGAACCTCAAACTGCATCAAAAATTTGTTCTAGCAAAACAGTTTTTGCTTTTAATATTATCTTTTTAAAGGTCCTGGTTAAGATAAGCATTAGGAATTGTACAGGGAAGTATAAAGATGCATGACTTGTAGTTGGTATACTATCATTGTCCATGCTACATCTGTTGGAAGTTTCAATGGTATTGAATAAGTTAACCAGCTTCTTCTGCGTCAATTGTTACAGTCCTAACACATGGAAGTTGCTTGGGCATCTTTTGGTTGACTAGTTACAATCTTAATTGTTGCTTTCTTTCCTTATCTCAAGTCAGGACCACAGTTTTGACGTCAAAGTAGTCAGTTTTGTTGCATAGTTACATTTTTGTCTTCTTGTTTAAAATATATGCTATGATTCTTTATAATGAGTACTTGTAACAAACATCAATGTTTGAAGCTTTACATGCCTCACTCGTCCATTTACAGATATTAGACTACTATTGCTATGCTGCTTCTTATTAACACTCAATTAATCAATGTTCTTCCTCATCAGAAATGTACATTGATCATCTGTTATCCTTTGCTTTAAAAAAAGGAGATATGATCAGGGATGGCTTTTTTGTTGGCAGATTGTAAATTAAGTCACATCATAATCCATGAAAGATATATTAACCATGGTTACTTAAAATTACTCTACCTCTGTATATCTATGTATATCTATAATACACTTAATATATGAATAAAAACTCAATAAACATGCAAATTAAATATGACTCTTAGAGAACCTTATAGATTGCATTAACAATGGTGATATAAATATATGTTTATGTATAAAATTGTTCCCGGGATGTGGAATTTTAAAGTTGTGATTAAGAGTGGTATCATCACAGCAGCAAATTTATTAATTATATATATACTCAAACATTCTAAGAATCATTTTGTTTGTACCAGATTTTAGCTAATGATGAGAATAATTTGAAGAAATTTTCCTTTGCCTTTCAACAGAAAAGGTATATGAAATAAGGACTGAAATTTTATTGAATTAGTGTATAGTGGGTGTTAAGATATTAACACGTATTGAAAAATATATATGTTTACTTTCTTAATGTGACAAATTGTGGCATGACAAAATCATTTTTATTTTTTTAGCGGAAGCCATGATTAGGGGCGAAGTATAATTTGATTAACTATATAGAGGACTCACTACATGATGGGTTCTCTTTAGACCTCCCTGATACATTCTATTGTGTGTCAAATAGACCAAAATATTGTGATGGTGCGTATATTGATGTAGGAGCCAAGAAGTTGGTACTTCTAACCTTTTGTGTTCCTTTAGAGATGATATATATTCTTATCCCCTTCCACACCTCAAGGAAAGTATATACATCCGTAATTTCCACAGATTTACAAACCTGATACTTGAGAGAGAGGTAAAAAGAAGAGACTTCAGCTACATTGAATGGGGGAAAATGAGTTCCATGTTGAATGAGAACCGGTGTTGTCCAGTTTCTAGTGCGGTGGCATTTTTAGTCACCAACATAAATAAAAGCCCCCTTAAGGTTAGTTAAAAGTATGAGAAAGAAATTTGAGAATTGCAAAGAGGGTTGTATACAGAATTGATAATGAGATAGAAGGACTCACAAGTACTTAAGAGGGAGGTATGTCACCGATAACTAATAGTATGTAACTTGGTTGCTTTTCTATTCCCACGTGGCCACCCATATATCTTCGAATGCTCAGATATATGACAACTCAAGAGTATAGTGCATTCGATCCGAGCTATGGAAGAAGAAAAACACACCTTTTTTATAGTTACATTTCAAAACGAGCAGCTAGAGAGGTACCATTAAGGAAAAAATTTAATTATTGGTGGGAAATTTTCCTTGATGCTGGTCAATATTAAAGTACCTCTTGTGTATCTTGCGGGCTTCGAACTTGTTCCTATTTGAAACAGTTATCTCGACATATACAGTTGGAGAAGATTTGTCAAGGGACATAGAGATCTCTCTATTTTCTGAGTGGTGCGAATAGAAAGCGGATGCGTAGAAACACTATTACAAAATTTGGTAGTATTGCGGCTGTTTTTACTGCCCAACTTTTGTCTGTGCAGCCACCATGCTTTGTCTAACTTATCTTATGTTATTAGCTATCATAAGGTAAATACACGTGCCACCCTGAGGATGCCTGTTTGATTGATTCCCATAAGATGCGCAGATGTTTTGCTACTCTTAATATGATGTTACTGTGTTTAGTTACACTGACACCTTTTGAGAGGGGATAGGTACACACATCAAAGATTTATATAGAAGAGATGAATATGCATAGAATACGCCCTTGAGGCCTACACACCCTTATTCCGAGCCTATTTGTTGATCGAGGGGCAACCAGCCAAGATGGTGGAACATTTAATGATTATTAGAATGGAGCAGAGATACCGAATTCAACGTGGGAATAACTAAAGTGTGGTAGATTGACTGCAGCATTAGAGGGACAAAAAGAAGTTATAGAACGTGAGTCTACCTTGAGGAGAAAGCAGGGGCGAAGTGACCTATAGGAAAAGTGCTTTTTGCCAGGCGAGACGCAAGGCCACAGACTATGAGTGGCTCATCGTGCTTAGCACGTAACGGTCCTTGTCTGGCCTTTCTTGATTCGTATTTCCAAATTTATACCTTTTACAGTACCACATATATTATGCCAAGGATGGTACATGGATTACTTGTTCGTAATGTGCCCCCTCTAAACTCTTATGTTAAGAAATGGCAAGAAAGATTATTAAGGTGGCATTAACTGAATTAGAATCATGTAGACTAAAATCAAATTACAGTATATCTCTCTACCTCACTGTGGACTTGCCATATGCTAAATCCCTCTAGGCATCTTGATATTTGAAATCAATAGAAGTAAGAGTGACTCTAATTCAATACGGACTAGAATTGGCGTTTGCTTGTTGGGAAGTGTGACATAACATACCAATATCTAGTTCACGAAACAAAGAGATCGAGTAATTTAAATATTTATAGATTTTTTTGCTTAGAACTGGATATTAGTCCAATTTGCCATTAAGGATTTCGGTATTATGCCTCCCCAGAACCAGGGTGAGTGAGGACAAAATAGGTTGTGTAATGGAAAATGCTTGCTATATTATCAGATAAATAAACTTATATCAGTTCAGGCACATGAGTATCTGCATGTATTAATATTTTTAACATGCTCGCTATAGCGATTTTCCTTTTGTAATGCTGCGCTTTCTGGAGTTATCTAAACGCACCTAGGCATCATATTTTATGAGAGCGTGGTATAAACGGCAATGTTATGATACTTTTTTGAAGGCTCCTCTGCTTAATATATGATGAAAATTTTGTGGATTAATGGCTTTTGAATAGTTGTCGGACTTTGTAATGATATGTACTATATTCTTTGCGTCGCTAAAAGCCTTTGATGACGTCAAAATTAGTTGTTACTTAGTCTATGTACCTATTGTGAGTGGCGAGCCTTGGAAATAATAAGAGGACCCATTTGTCTATGGCTTCATGCTTAATTATTTAACAAAGCTGTTGTGTAAAAGATTTAAAAATGAAGACCATATTCGTCCGGGTCATTTTGAATATGGACCTTGTTACCTTATGCCTAAACTCTTAAAGATTGGAAAATACCCTTCACCAATAATCCTGTGCTATATTGCCAAAAAAATTTTGTATATCTCTTAGGTGTGGTGTCAAAATCACTCTGGAGTTTTTTGGCTTGATGTTAATATGCAGTCTTATATTTTTGAGGTAATAACGGTGCCCTGGTTAAGGATATTAAAAGGCGATTAAGGGTGAAAGCTCTTATGCTAACGGCGGGAAGTATGGAAAGATGCACTCGCTTAGCATCTCAGGGAATATCAGGGCTTCGGTTATGTGTGTGAAAAGTCCTTCCATATGCCATGTTGGCAATGTCCATCGTCTTTCTCATACTCGTGGTACTTGGTGATAGCTGTTACCAATTTTACGGGTAAAAGATTTCTCTTTGTCGATTATGCAGTTAACGTCAGCTCTTCTTACTCTCGACCGGTCGAATATTTTAAACCTTAAAAACGAAGAGTTTCGGCGTATACACATAAGGTGAGGTGGTCGCGTTAGGGGAGACATCATTGCAGATTGGTATGCTGGAGCTTAGTTACCCAATTCTTTAAATTCGGATGCTTTAATAGCTTTCGTTGTGCCCAACTGTTTGACCTAATCCCTTCCAACCCATCCTGAGTTTACTTCTCATGTTGACCCCACAAAGGTTTTGTGTGAAACGGGTATCGCAACAGCTTAATGTTACAATATGTGGTTTGGGTATGTAGTGTGATGCCCTTAGTTACATCTTTTTGTGGCTTCTTGGTTGTAAGGAATTAGTATGCCCTATAGGAGTTCTTTTACTTAAATGCGGAAAGAGTAAACTTGGAATGTTAACCAACAACATTAGTTCCACATGTTTTTGATAG